CGTTGATCAGCTTAGGAATTGTATTTCGTGATGGTCTAACTTTGCCTTAACATATATTGAGCACGACTTTCCTGTTTGTTAATAGATTTCTTCGCTTTTTGATTTTTAAATAAGTTATTTTTAATATTTCTTGTATTTTTATCAGTTTTATGATTCAGCAACATCCTGATAAGCAAGAGTCTTTGTGCAAACATATACTTTTATCAATAGTGGAGAGTTTATATCATATTATATAATTGCCACCATTAAATTCAACTAGTCCTAGTTCCATTATATCGAAAGAATCAACTGTTTAGTTTTACTTAACAATAGCCAGACTGTGTTTGAACTTTTATGGAGCCTTTACTCATAAGTCTTTGGATAGGTTACCCTTAGAGGGAAGTTAAATTAAATATTAGCTCTCGTCACCTTTGCGGAATTTCAGACTCCAGGAATATACATTTTTATCAAAGATGCTTCAAAAAGCGCATAATAAGGGAAAAAAATTTTGTAATACTTCGGCTTATACAAAGCTTAAGCAACTTAATATTTCTGATTAATTTATCCGGCATATTTCTACACATATCATATAGGTTCCTTTAAACTATACTATTTTTCCCTCCTTCCAGGGGTGCATTTACGTGAAAGCAGACAGTTTATTCTGAGTTTCATATTCTTTTCATCATGCCACAAAATGTATAACACTTTGCGAGAATTCTGCATTTTAAAATGATTTTTTATATTCCCTGTCTCTCCTATGTGATAATTCTCTGTATTTGACTTTTATTTATCTCACAGTAATAATATTATCCACTGTGACCTCAAGCCCGAAAATGTACTTCTTCGTCGTCCAGGTCGCAGCGGGATCAAGGTCATCGACTTTGGGTCCAGCTGTTACACTGATCAACGTACATATACATATATACAATCACGTTTCTATCGTGCGCCCGAGGTTATTCTAGGAGGCAGATATTGCACTGCCATCGACATGTGGAGCCTTGGCTGCATACTTGCTGAACTCATAACTGGTTAGCTAATATTTTGTTCTTTCAAAACTCTTTGATCATACAGAACTACTGTTGAAGGTTGTCCTTAGTAAGAAAGTCAGAATGCATTTCCCTTAATTATTATGGCAAAAACACTGTCGAGATGTTACTATAACGTAATTTTTTAAGGTCTTTTTTTATATGAAACAAATCGAATTACTTCCAAGGCAGTGAATTAAAAAATCGAGTGCAGAGTTATCTCATCTAATGTCACTAAGAATAATGTATTTTTTGTACTTACCAATACTGCAAACTTTCTTATAGCGAAGCTTGTGTCATACAAATTAAAAGATGAGGAGGCAAAAACTGCGAATATAATTGCTGGTTATAATTGCTGATACTTTATATAAATTTTAAATAATCGTGAATAATGAATATATATATATATATATATAATACTATAATAGATTTAATATACTCATGTGGATTTATGCGATATACTCAAAATGCCAAGCATTAATATGTAGTAACTATTCCTTTATGCATTATATGCGATACAATTGAGCTTGATTCATAGAGAGAGAAGTTTAATTATATGCTAAGACAGTTTATGATTATTCCTATATAAAATAGCTTAAATAATCTTCCTTGAATAGTTTCTACCAGCAAATATTCTGTTTTATGTAAAGGGAATCTGTATGAGGTGAATGCCAATTTTGACAATGATCAAGCTACTAAAACAAATCTAATGATTATGGCTTCGAATTCTTCCTACATTTTGAGTGCTAAACTATAGTAAAGAATGATGTATATACCTAAAAGGCAACAATGATAAGCTGATTCTATCATATATAGGAATAACAAGTCTCTTCTAATTAAGATGTAGAAGGAGCGGTCCTAGGGTTCTTTTTAAGTGGTTCTTAGCAAACTTCAGTCCACTTAGATAAGTTTAATACTTATAGACTTGTTTCTTATAAAGAAAATCGTTATTTGTAATCTACTTACTCTTCCTCGAAGTATTTAAGTGAATTTTTTCATCTAAGGGAAAGGATTTTGTTTTTCTCTATTTTTCTCGGCTAATCACACTGGCAAAATTCCCAACTATATACATTCGTACATACACACATGCTATGTGCTTTTGAGCCCAAACCAATCACTTTATGATGAAATGCGAGGCAAGGCTAGGTTAAACTATGTATCGTAATAAGAAAGTGAGGGAAAATAGAAGCACAATCGGAAATACAATATTGGTTAAAGGTTTAGGGATTCTTAAAGTAACTGACTAAATAAAAATTATCATAAGATGAATTCAGCAATAATACAAATTCTGTAAAATATAATTTTATATAAAGAGATGGGATTTGCCTATTTTGTATTTTTAAATTTAACCAGCTTCTTATAATCTGTGCTTTAAGCTATTATAAGTTAATGGACTAAGGTTTACAATTGCTCGATTAACAATTTTATAAACTAAGCCTAGCTTGGCAATAATTTCTGACTATTGTTTTAACTTAGCTTTTTAATCCTATAATTTGAGTATCAGAAACAGCTGAGGTTCTCCCTAATGATCCTGACAATTTCATATAACTCTGATAATTGCAGTGCTAAATGATATTCAATGTTACCGTTGATTTTTATCAATCCTATTAAAACAAAGCAAGGAAAAGCCATATAACACACCCCTCTTGGATATGAGTTCCATGCTATTTAGGATTAAAAGATTTTTGGAGATTTGATGCTTTTAAAATGGGGTGGATGCTTTTCTTGTCTACGCAGCAATTCAAAGAATTTCGTTGAGAAATAAGATTTGCCGGTTAATAACACTTTATTAGCTTACTGAATGAGTAAAGCTGAATTTTAAGTTGATTGTGGATAAAACTTTAATACGAGATGTATTCATTCAATTTCGTGTAAGGTGATGAAGGACTGGTAGAAAATTTTCACACAATAATATGTGTAGAGCTGACGTTTCCATCGAATTTCACATTGCCTTGCTTTCCCAAAAGTTTTTCTCATCCAGACACCAGTCGACTGCAGTTTCGACCTCGCATCGGTCTTATCAACACCCCCAGCGGGAGTCGAACCGTGACAGTGCAGAATATGAGCTTGACACGTTAATCACTCAGCCACATTGCCACGAGTGCCTTGGGTCAGAGGGCAAATGTGAATTTCAAGGAAGGCCAGGCCTTTTGTCATATCATCTTCTTTGGTGGGATTGTTGATTAAGCAATTGTATATTTGCTATAACAATTGGTAACGTTATATGTTTTTCGTATTATTAGTGGAGTTTCGAGACTACCAGTAA